ATTCGTATTAGTATTAGTGTTAGTATTATGATTATCCTTCTCCTCCTCCTTCTCCTTCTCCCCCTCCCCCTCCTCCTCGTCCTCGTCCTCCTCCCCCCTCCTCCTCCTCCTCCTCCTCCTCGTCCTTCTCCTCCTCTTCCTCCTCCTCCTCTTCCTCCTCTTCTTCCTCCCCCTCCCCCCCCATCCTCCCCATTCTCCTCCTCATCCTCCTCCTCCTTCTCCTCCTCCTCCTCCTCCTCCTCCTCCTCCCTCCTCCTCCTCCTCCTCCTCCTCCTCCTCCTCCTCCTTTTCCGCCCCCTCTTCCTCGTGCTCCCCCCGGCGCCTTCGCTCCAAGCTTCCCAGGACTTCGCGGCCATCGGCCCAGATTGCGGCGCGCGTTGGCGGCGGCGTCCAGCTCTGTTCGCCCCTCCGCTCCGCCGCGAGGCGCCCCTGGCTGACGGCGGCGCGCCGGCCCCTGGCAGGCTGCTCAGAGGCAATCGGGGGCCACGGGAACGGGGGGAGCAGGGCGAGCGCTGCGGAGGAGTAAGGTCCGCCGCAAACAAATGTATTCAGGCACCCTCCGACGGACTGCTCCTGGGCCTCAGGGGAGGGCGGCGGTGTAGAAGCCACCGCTGAGGCCCAGCGACACTGCGCGACGCCGCCCTCCCTGAAGGTACATGCAAAGCTCGTCGGAGGGTGTCTGTGCATGTACTTTCGTGGCGTAGAAGGGCGTGTTGAAAACGCTGGACGGGGAGGCGGGGTGGAGCGGGGGCTCGGGGGAGGCAGACCGAGCGGTTGGCAGGGCAGGGAGACGGCAGGTCGGGCTGAGCACCGGACGGAGAGATCGGCGTAGGGGGCCTGGGGGTCAATCGCATAGTCCGCTCTGTGCTGCCCTACACCTTAGGCGATGCTTAAGAAAACCCAAGTTTTCGGCCAGAGTCTCGATTATTCTTAACGTTTCAATGTAAATCCTAAGATTTGAATGGAAATGTTGGGTTTCAGTTCAAGTTCTGAGACGATGAATTTCTTAACCCATGATTTCTTGAGCATTTCGCAGGGTGTACGGGAGGTCCGCGTCGCCTCGACCATCGGCGACTCCGCCTCCGGCGTCTATCTGGAGATCGGAAAGCAGCCGATCGTTCAAGCTTGAACGATCCACTCGATGTTGGAAACCATCGCCAGGGTCGTCGCGATAGGAGAATGCCGTAGGCGACGGCTAACTTGATGTTATGAGATGTTATGTGACACTGTGTCATTATATGATATGTTATATCAAGGTGTGTTATGGCATGTTCGGTCATGCTGTGTCATGTTGTGTTATGTCGCCTTCTGGTCTGTCATGTTCTAGTATGGTAGTTTATGTGATACTATGTAATGTTTGATGTTGCCACGACAATGCTACGGTATGTTATGCCATGGTATGACATGCTTGTGGTTTGTTATGTTGCGTCATGATGTGTATGGTCGTGTGCGTCGTCGCTATGCCTGGCTGTCGTGTTATGAGATGTTTTGTGAGTCGGTGCCATGCTATGATATGGTATGTCAAGGTGTGTTATGTTAGGCCTACCATGCTCTGATGTGGTATGTCATGTGATGTTTGTTTGTGATAACTTCTCAGACCTGTATGATATGGTATGGTCTGGTTTGCTAGAATGTGTCGTTCTGCTCTGTTGTCGTGTTATGACATGTTATGTTGTGATAAGGCATGATATGAGATGCTATGCCATGGTGTGTTATGCTATGATCGGTTACGTTATGTTATGTTGTGTTACACCGTACTATGGCATACAATGGTATACTATGGTATGTTGTGTGATGGTATGTGATGCTCTATTGTGTCATGGTATGACTGATGTTCTGCTATGTTATGTGATGCTATTGTTATGGTATGTCAGGTTATTTCGTTTCATGTTGTGTTATGTCGTGATCGTCGTCGCTCTGCTCTGCTGTAATGTTACCATATGTCATGTGACGATGTGTCATGATATGATATGGTATGCCAATGTGTATGTGATGCTCGGTTATGTTATATTACGTATGTTGTGTTCTGTCGTGTTCGTCGAGGGCGTGAGGCGGGATCATCGGGACGGCTTGAAGTCTGGCGGCAGCGGTGTGCAGAGTGGGGGATTGTCCAGGCGCGAGGCGGGACACCCGGGACACGCGGGACAACTTGGGGTCTGGCGGCCGCGGTATGCAGGGTGGGGTTGGCCGGGCGCGGGGCGGGACGCCTTGGATACTCGGGATTCCAAAGACAGCCGCGAATTCAGAGAGGAGAGGACCCGCCTTGCCAACAAGGTGGGCCAAGTGCAACTCAAGCCTAGGAGACGGCCTGTAGTCCGTGGATGCGTACAGTGCAGATATCAAAACAAGGATGCCGCCACACAGTGCCTTTGGGATTCTCGGGACAATTTGGGGTCTGGCGGCCGCGGTATGCAGGGTGGGGTTGGCCAGGGGGGCCTGCTGAAGTCTACCAACCCCAACCTGTCGGGTGTGGAGAAAAGAGATACGACGGAGGAAAGTGGGACAGGGAGAGGGGGAGGGAGGAGGAGGGAGGTGAAGGGAGCAGGGAGGAGGGAGGGGATGGAGGAGGGAGAAGGGAGGACGGATTGATGCGTAAAAGCTCCAGCACGGAACAGCTCAGCGTTTTCACAGACCAGTGTTCCCAGAGTCTTTCCAGCCCCTGGCCACTGTGCTCCATCTGGTCTGAGCCAGTTGATCCAGCCATGGCCACGCCCACTTCAAGGAATTCCAAACCTCCATGCTTGCCTGCCTCCTCTGCAGTTTGCCTGCCAGGCTGGGCTGCCCCGACCCACCGACCGCCCATCTGGGCAATCAGCTCCGCACTGATCGTTCTTCCAGTCGCAAGCCTCGCGGGGGGGTAGGGGGGGACACTCGGCGGTGCGCCGATGGGGGAAGTGAGAAGCTTCTGAGAAGCCGCCTCTGTCTTCGGAGAAGGCTCAGGAAGCTTCTCAGAAGGCCGGAGGCCTTCTGAGCTCTCCGAGAAGGCCCGCGCTCCCTCTGCCCTCCCGGGCTTCCCAGAAACACCATGAGGCTTTGGAGGAGGCCTGGCAAGCTTCTCGGAAGGGCGGGCTTCCTGAGCCTTCTGAGAAGGCCCGCACCCCTTGCCTCCCTCCCTGGGCGCGCCTCTGGGAAACGCGCAGACGCCAGGCGCGACGCAGCCGATCGTGACCGACGGTCTGGAGGTTCCGTCCACGGCCCTCCGCCGCGGCACAGGCCTTCGCGACGCGCGCCGCTGCCGCGCTCTCCCCGCCCAACCGATCCACTGCTTGATGAAGCTCATCCTCCTCCTCTCTTTCCATTCCTTCTCCGTATGAATAATTTTTCCCTGTCGCACCCCGAGGCCAGTATTTAGGCTGGGCCGGGCGTTTCGCCTGAGATTCCTTCACCACGTATGATTCTGAAGCTTTGAAATGGTAAGAATTTCATGGATTGGGGGCGGTTGGTTTTCGAAATGTGGCGCTAGCCTTAGCGCCGCGCACGTTCGTTTTAGAAAGCTTCATGGATTGAGGGCGGGTCGCTTTCAAAATGTGGCTCTCGTCTTAGCGCCGCGCGCATTCGCTTTAAACATTTGCAAGGGTTTCACGCATTGAGGGCGGTTTGTTTTCAAAATGTGGCTCTCACCTTAGCGCCGCGCACATTTTTTTTTACAAATAAACATGTGCAAGAGTTTCACGGATTGAAGGCGGGTAGTTTTCAAAATGCGGTTTTCGTTTTAGCGCCGCGCACAGTCGTTTTAAAATGTGCTAGAGTTTCACGGGTTGAAGGCAGGTTTTCAACATGTGGATCTCGCTTCAGCGCCGCGCACATTCGTTTTTTACAACTGCAAGAGTTTCACGGATTGAGGGCGGCTCGTTTTCAAAATGTGGCTCTCGCTTTAGCGCCGCGCACACTCGTCCTAAACATTTGCAAGGTTTTCACGGGTTCCCATGATCAGCGTACCAGAGATGGCGTTTTGGAAGGATGCAGGGTCACGCGGGTGCAACAGTTATGATGATCCGCGGTGTTGAAGTCCCCCAAATGGCGTTTTCACCGGATTCCAGATCGCCAGGACGCAGTAGTCAGGTTGATCCGTGGCATGGAATCCCGAGAACAACGCTTTGGCAGTATTCAAGGTCTTCAAACGGGTGTCTTGCAACGAGGCAGTTCCTTCAATGGAAATGAGCCGTTGTAGGAGCCTATGAAGAGGGAGCTTGGAGGGACGGTTGATTCTATCGTTGATGACTCTTGGGCTTACACTGGTCCTCCTCCTCCTCCTCGTCCACTCCTTTGACTCCTGCATAACTCCTCCCTGTCTCACGTCGCACCCACAGACGTGGGGTGTTTCGCTTGATACCGCCCCACCATCTATGATCCTGAAGCTTGAAGTTTGCAACAACTTCAAGGACGTGGGGCGGGAGGCTTTCAAAATGTGGGTCTCGCCTGAGAGTCACGCACATTCGTTTCAAAAGCTTGCAACAGCTTCCAGGATGGAGGAAGATGGTTTTCAAGATGTGGCTCTCGCCCCGCCGCACACATTGGCTTCAAAGCTTGCAGTAGCTTTGACGATGGAGGCGGGTGGTTTTCAAAATGTGGCTCTCGCCCTATATCCGCACACGTTGGCTTCACAGCTTGAAGCAGTTTCAAGGGTGACAGGCGGTTCCTTTTCAATGAGTGGTTCTCGCCGTAGTGCTGCGCGCATTGCTGCGCGCATTGCTTCTAAATGCCACAACAAATTCAAGTATTCATAAGGTTGCAGTCCAGGACTGGTGTTTTGGTGCGACTTGGGAATGTCAGGGCAAACCAATCACGTTGATTCGTGGTGTTAAAGTCCCAGTAGTGTTCAGTCCCGATTTAGGATTGTCAGGACGCAGCAGTCACGTTGAGTCGCGGCGTTGAAGTCCTGGGAATGGTGCTCTGGCGCGGTTGAATATTTTCAGACGGATGTATCGACTTTTGGGGGGCTTTGGGGAGCCTCTTGGGGCGGGAGGGGGAGGCAGTCGCTTGCGGCTCCCCCCCGGAGGCCACGATCCTCGTGAGGGGTGTCGAAAAATGGCCCTCCCCTGTGGCGTTTTGGGGTGATCGCCCGGGAGTGGACCGGGACCTTGGCCGGGGTATTTTCGTCCGAGGGCCCCAGGGGTCGCTCCGCGCGTGCGAACTAGAAATATTGTTAACCAGGTGCCGGAGATCTTAGCACGCCTTTGGCCCGTTGGGCTGGCGAATTACCCCTTTGTTCTCGCTCCCCTCCTCAACACGCTATCGCTGCCGCCACCTTTGGCGTCACTGTTTGCTCAGGGCCCCGAAAAAGTACCCCTGCCTGTCGGGGGGAACTAAAGAGAGCCTCTCTAAGAGTTTGATGTATGTTGTTGTCGGGGGTTATGTGGATATGTTCGTCGAGTTTGTCGGTTGTGACAGGTGTGTTCGGTTGATGCTGGTTGCAACATGTATGTGGTATCAAGAAGAGGGGTGAGGGTAGTTTCTGAGTTCGTCGCCTTCACCAACTAGGTTTTTGTTTATGTACGTATGTGTTGTGTGTGTGTGTGTTTTGGGGGGGAGGCGGTTGAGACTGTGCTTCTCCGAATTACCCCTTTGTTCTCGCTCCCCTCCTCAACACGCTATCGCTGCCGCCACCTTTGGCGTCACTGTTTGCTCAGGGCCCCGAAAAAGTACCCCTGCCTGTCGGGGGGAACTAAAGAGAGCCTCTCTAAGAGTTTGATGTATGTTGTTGTCGGGGGTTATGTGGATATGTTCGTCGAGTTTGTCGGTTGTGACAGGTGTGTTCGGTTGATGCTGGTTGCAACATGTATGTGGTATCAAGAAGAGGGGTGAGGGTAGTTTCTGAGTTCGTCGCCTTCACCAACTAGGTTTTTGTTTATGTACGTATGTGTTGTGTGTGTGTGTGTGTTTTGGGGGGGAGGCGGTTGAGACTGTGCTTCTCCTGAGCGCTTTCGCAGTTTACGTGTTTGTCCTGGTTTCCTCAATCGACGGCGCGCCCTAGGGGGAAGGCAGCCTTCTCAGAATGATGAGCCTGTTTTCCACCACCACCACCATGAAGGGGGGAAGGAGGAGGAAAAGGAGGAGGAGGACGAAGAGGAGGAGGAGGAGGAGGATGAGGAGGAGGAGGAGGACAACCCCCCTCCAACTTATGGTGGTGGTGGAAAACACGCCTATCACAGAAGGTTCAGAAGGCCTCTGGCCTTCCGGGAAGCTTTCCAGGCCATCCCCCAAGCCACGGAGGGTTTTCAAGAGGCCACAGGGTTTCCGAGAAGCCCTGCCGCCGCCAGCGACTTCTGACGCATGGTTTTCGTGTTTGCTGGATGCTGTTGTTCATCCTGGGGGAGGGTACCCTCGCATGTTCTTCAGTTTGGCCAGCGGAGGGTCTCGTGCTCTTGAACGGCCTTATTATGTCCCAGGTGCGAACGTATCTGAGCGTCTCGGCTGGATTCGGCTGTCCCCTCACGGGTCGGCAAGACCATGCGAGTCGGGGGTGTGTGCACGTCCACCGCCGGGGAAATCCGTACTCTCAGACCTCCGCACCCCTGCGAATGGCTGCAAGTGTTCCCGACGAATGCGTGCGGCGCGAGGGCGAGAGCTACACTTGCGAATCGACGTGCGGGAGCCTCTTCCTCCTCCTCCTCCTCCTCCTCCTGCTCCTCCTCCTCCTCCTCCTCCTCCTCCCTCCTCCTCCTCCTCCCACCTCCTCCTCCTCCTCCTCCCCTCCTCCTCCTCCTCCTCCCTCCTCCTCCTCCTCCACCTCCATCCTCCTCCACCTCCCTCCCTTCCACCCTCCTCCTCCTCCCCTCCTCCTCCTCTCCTCCTCCTCCTCCTCCTCTTCCTCCCCCTCCACCTCCTCCTCCTCCTCCTCGTCCTCCTCCTCCTCCTCCTCCTCCTCCTCCTCCTCCTCCTCCTCCTCACCTCTCTCCTCATCTCCTCCTCCGCCCCCCTCCTTGCGGCACGCCCCGACGGCGGTCTCTCCCCCGCCTCGGTGGGCGGCCGCCGGGCCCCGAGGCACTCCCGGCGGCGGCGAGGGCGCCTCGTGCACGCTCCGGCGCGGGGAGGAGGCGCCGCGCGGGCCGCGGGGTCGAGGAGGAGGAGGAGGAGGAGGAGGAGGAGGAGGAGGAGCAGGGGGAGGAGGAGGAGGAGCGACGCGGGGCGAGGTGGAGGCAGGAGCGGGCGGAGGCCAGGGCGGGGAGGGGGGGAGGCAGGAGGTGCCGAGGAGGACGGGCAGCGGCGCGGGGCGAGGCGGAGGCAGCGAGCGTCGCGCGCCGCGGCCCGCGCGCCGCGCGGCTGCTTTGCTCGCGCCCTCGTGCCGTCCCCCAGTCTGGCGGCGAGCGCTGGGGGGAGGCGAGAAGGAGCCCCCTCCCGTCGTCCGCGCCCAGCCGCCGATGCTGGTGCTGGTGCCAACTTTTCAGCCTCCCATGCTGGTCACGGCCATCCGCGTCGTCCCGTGGCACTGTGGCGTCCATCGCCCTTGGTTGGGCGGATCGTGGGCGAAGATTTGGTCGCGGGGTAGGGCGGGAACGT